CCGATCGAGGTTGATGGAGAACCTGAGTATGAGATCTCTGAGATTCTAGACTCCAAGGTTGACCGGCACCGCTGCAACTGTAAGCTGCTCTACCTGGTACGTTGGCTAGGTTATGAAGGGACAGATGACGAGACTTCCTGGTTACTGGCTACTGAGCTAGGACATGCCTCAGAGTTGGTTACTGATTTCCACTCATGCTACCCAGGCAAGCTGGGCCCTGATCACGCTTAGTTCGCGAAGTGGACGAGGAATTAATTAATTTTAAAAAAAAAATGGGAAGAAGGGTCTAGATTACAATGAGGGCAAGCCAACAGTGAAAGCTTCCACATCCATGGCCTCGTTCCCAGCGCCATTATCGCTGCCATTATCATCTGCTACTCCCTCCAACTCCTCCTCTGTCCTCTGTTCGTCCTTACCCTTGTCCTCTTCACTCGAATTCTCCCCACTATCTGCCTCACTCTCGACCACACCCTTCCTCTTCATGTTGCCATGCAGCTTGTCACCAACCTGTCCTTCAATCCTTTCCAGGATATCACCAACTCACTCAATCGCGACCCTGACAGCCCTGACATCCTTCCTCAGCCCCCCAAGCCCTTGTATAGGGTCTGACGACCCCACCCGGCGGCGCTTAGGCACCATTTCTGCACCATGCTCGACCAGGTCACACCTCTGCCTCACCTGGGAGCATTCCTGGCAGGCCTTGCCAGGACCACGCACGCAGTGGACCTTATGTCTGACACACCTCAAACAAGAGGTCCGCTCTTGTCTGGGTACCTCAACCTCAACGACTTGGCACTAACGAAAGAAACCATCAGTATTGTTCAAGTAAAGATGAGTTCTCAAGAAAATGGGCCTACTTACCTTGTTAGGTGCCGAGCCCTCGCCTGATTCCTCTGCATGGGCCAGAGCCCAGAAAGAGCTGGCGTGAGCTCGACAAGAGAAGAGGGCTCTCTTTTCTCCCTCTCAACCCTCCTCCTTTCTCATTCTTCTGCCTCATGCACCTTACACTCCTCCTCCTCCCTCCTCCCTCGCCCATCAATCCTCTTCCTCCTTCTGGGCCTGCAATCGATGCAGGCATTGCTCACAAGCTTTGGCCATTGCCAGCTCCTCAGAGCCCAACATGTGCTCTTCTAGTGCTGTGTCCACCCAGAGAGACAAGTCAAGAGTGGAAGTAGCGTGCACCAAAGACATTGGGAAGTAATGAGAAGCGAGAACGAGAGTGATGAACAAAAATTTTGATTCTAGCCAGCAGAAACAAAATCCCTGGAAGTTTCTGGGAAACTCTCATGCCATGGAACTTAGGCCTTCAGGGGTTCAGGCCTAAGAGGGGGATACTGTCACGGCCCTGCAAAGTCCCCACCTTTACCACTTCTATCACCTGCACCCCACCACCATTCTTGCTCCCGTTATTTGCACCATTGTCCATCATGCAGCGGTGAAAGAGGGCTCGCAGCTCCCTATGCTGACTAAGCTCGTGGGGCCAAACTCTCCCTAAACTCCTACTCTCTCTCTTGACTTTACTATGCTCTCGATCCTTAAACTCCATGTGGGTTCTCTGGGATTTCCGCAAGGTCCGGGCTCAGTGTCCACTACTCACTCGTTGTGAGCTAGATCACTGCCCTTATTCCTACTGTTGGAATTCCACACACTCACACCCTCTCTAGCATGTCCTAGCACCTTAGAGAATTTTGGGGGAGGGGAGAACTTCTTTTCCAAAATCCAGTATGTACAGGATATAAGGAACAATTATTTTTAGAATAATTGATGGGAAATATTGGTACCATATGGCACCTGGATACCTTATTAGGCGAAATAATAAAAAAAGGGTAACAGTATCAATAAAAGAATATTGATCAATAACTGAAATGATGCAAAAATATGAAAATATAAGAAAATAAGCGATATCTCAACGGATTTACGGAATTAAAGGCCAAAATTGGAAATGAAGCCGGAGATAACTCTCACGCAGCCAATGAGCATTTTTACCAATTTATTAGACGCCGTGGGAACGAGTGAGGCTGGAATTCTGGGTTGCCGCTTGAGATTCCCACGCCCGCACATGCCCGTGCCTAACTTGCCCAACATAGAACTCCGTCAATTCTCCACCGATTGGGACGTTCTTGATATCGTCAGAATCGTACGAATTAGGACTATTTTTAGATACCGAATCCGTATCGAGTTGTTGTGTGAATGGAAGTGGTTTTATGGTCATGAAATTGGGTATCTGAGCTGGCTCTGCACATGGGCGATTATCCCGCCTACAGCGGCGCCAATAGTGGTTCCCATCTGCAGCCCCGTAGCGGCACCTCCTCCTTTCCTGCCACCACTTTAGTTCCTCAGCCATTCGGCCGCACCCAATTCACTTATGGCTGAGTATACCGTTCTATTCTTATTTCATTCGCTTAACTTACTAGCAGTCAATATTGTCGCTGCTGATCCGCTCCTACATTGACATTTGGTTTATTCCTATATTGACATTTGATCCACCACCATATTGGCATCTAGATTGTCAGCCCTATTCAGTCTGCCTCCCAACTTCACCGTCCTTTGTCCATTCACTCTTCACTCCCATTCATTCCTTCTGTTCCATTTCCCCAGTCCTCATCGCTCTTTTAGTTTTGTTGCACTTACCATTCTGCTCCTGTCCCGTGCCGGACCGACTGGCCCCTTCTCTGTTCTCCTTTCATACTTATACTTGTAGTTTACTGTCAATGTACCTCAGTTCGGATATCGACTAGAAATCCCCCCAAGTCTTCTTGCCTCCAAGTTCAACTCTAAGTTTCATCTCCGCCTGAGTAACATCGCCGCAAGGTCCTCCTGCTACCCTGAAATATGGGACAGCCTAGAACACGTGTGCAATGCTCCAGCTGAGTCGTTGAAGCCAAAGTCCCATCTCCCAAGATGCCTTGCAACAGAGCTGCACATTAGCTAAGTGACCACTCACACCGCTGCACTCCGCTCCGCTTCCCACAATCACCTCGAATACCGTTTCTGACAATCTCACTGAATTGTAGTCCAAATGCCCCAAAAGTTTGTGCACTACAATACATGTCCTCAAAGTAAACTTGACATATTTTCTTGTATTTTTTCGACATCTGAGAGGCACTGAGAGGCACTGAGCTTTGACCTTGCATGTCATTTCCCACACATGCCACACCCATGCAGTGTTGAGTGAACCGAGAATCACACATTTCTCCATCAGTTCTCAACCATTTGCCATCAGGTCTTTTGTGATAAATTCCTCTCAATCACCTCTTTATTTTGTATTATTACTCCAACTCATGATTCTATTAGAACACCAACTTTGTTCACATTGGGAAGTTGTGTGGCGGTTATTCATAGCAGTTATTCTGGGGCACTATGAGGCATTGGGGGCATTTTGCCCTTTCTTATTCAACTTAAAACTCCCTTTGTATGATGACACTGCCACTCAGGAATGTTGCATATATAAGGGAGGAATTCTTAGACTTTTCTCCCTCAGAACTCTTATTTGAGTCTGAGGTGAGAACTATTTCTCAGTATTTTACTTTATAACTCATGTATAACTCTTGTCACAGTCTAACGTGACACAGGTATTTACCATACAGAACTCTTATTTGAGTCTGAGTCTAACACGACACAGTCTTTATTCTGCAATTTCTAGGATGCACACAGCTCCAGAAGTGGATTGCAACAGACATGTGACTTCAGTTTGAATTAAGGACATTGTTGCTTGAACATTTGAATTGAAAGTGAATTGTCAGGACGTCTCAGGACATCCTAGGATGTTCCCATACAAAAGAGGCCTCTAGGCCCTCTTCAAACGTCCTGAGAACCCCCTCTATGGGCCTAGATATCGGTTGTCCAAGGTGCTGCTAACAGTCAAACGACTGTTGCACCTGTTAAATTTCTTGGGATACAAGCGTATGCTGAGGCCAACTCACGTTGTTGATGTTGAGTCTTGCGGCGCTAAGATTCACTTTGTTTCCCTTTTTTGGATCAGTTGTTACTAAAGTCAGTGCGCATTGATAGCGCCTGACTATAAAACACCAATTTTTGGACCTTATGACTTCTCCTCAGTTCATGCATAGCGGACTGAGGTGAGTCTAAGTTTTCTCCTTCATTTATGTGTTTAACAACTTGTATCTAATTGTTGTAAATCCGGAGTTCCAAATATGGCAACCCGCTTCAGCGGTTCACTCGCAACCCAGATGTAATATAGAAGGAAATATAACTAAAATACACACGGCGCTCCAGCACCCATATTTATACTTCTCAACAATATTCTAGGCTCTTCTATGCCCAGCGCTTACGCAGGCACCTAGTAACCCCTAGAATATTCCCGGATATTCCGGTTCAGTTTCATCATGTGACTCGTATTCCAACACTAATATTCGTACACCAGCGACAACATCGCTAGGAGTTCACGCATAGCGGACTGAGCGACAACATCGCTAGTCCAACATTTCGTCTTATAGCACCAAGCATGCAAAGGTGACTCGGTAAGGCGGAGGAGACTCTATTGGAAATGGCGAGTCACCAGAGATATCCGGGACATATGTGGAGGATAATGTGGAGGATGTGACTAAGCGCTTGCGTAAATGCTGCGCATAGGAAGCTCCGGATTGCCGATGCATAGTATAAATATGGGTGCTTTAGCACCGTATGTTCTTTAGTTACAGTTTCTCTTCTCATTTCTATATTACATCTGGGTTGCGAGTGAACCGCTGAAGCGGGTTGCCATATATGGAACTCCGGATTTACAACAGACTCTGCCGCCCAATCGCTCCTTTAGGGAGGAGCCTGAGCCCCATAGTGCGCTGTTTACTATGGGGGGTGCTTTGGACGTCCCTGTCATATTTCCTGGCGGTTGGCCTGACCCAGAGTCAGGCAAATTGTTCTCATTTAGAAAATCGTCCGATGACCGATCCATTTTCCTCAGTGCTCTGCTAAGCATGACTCTTATATCGATTGTTGTAAAATATACATTGTACCCCGAGCACCCGAATCACTAGGTTCATCGCAAGCATGAACTAAGTCCGACTTGGGTTCAGGCTGTGTGTGACCAGTTCCTCGAACGAAACTAGGGATCCACCAAATATATCCAGGGAGCTGACCGTACATGTTTACAATCATTTCGACCAAGAGACATTCCAAAGACGCACCTTCCATATGTCAGGTCGACTTTTCCATTTGATAGTCGGTCGACCAGGTCAAGGTCTTGGATTGCTATAACCATGTGGAAAAATCCTCAAGCTACAAAAGATTAGGAGGACGGATTTGTACTCACATTTTGCACCTCCGGCATACGTTGTCGGGATAGTTGCGTATTGGCCGAGAACTATGCAAGAAAGGATCGCGTCATCGGAGGGATGAAAATCCAATAGAGAAAAACGCACATTTTACCAAGTCCTCGTCAATCCCCTGACACAGGCCCTCGACGTCCGCCGCGTGAACGAGGAATTCACTAGAGGTGTTTGCGTGAGAAATTCGATGCTATTTGGGGGTGGCGAGAACTCGCCTGCAATACTCAGAGAGAAGATCAAGTGACTCTGACAATATGGAGATGGCTGAGCTGAAAAGTAGATGTGGTAGGACAAAACAATATCCGACCCTTGGTCACTTGCATATCAGTCAAATCTTGCCACTTATTCATAGCGACCGTCCAACCATCTTTCGTCCTCCGACAACTAACGTCCACGACTAACCGTTCTTTCGAAACTTTTTCCGATAACTTTTCCAATCTCTTCAAGGAGAATTTTCCGTCTGGAAACAGGTACGACGTCACGATAACCTGTGATTACGTAGAGTCAGAGATGAAACATAGAGGGAATTTCTTTCGATATACTTTCGCTGCACCGGCTTGGATCCACTCTTGGGCGTTAGCTAAGGTTATACCTCCTCCTAATTGCAAACCATCTACAGTAGTATAGTTCTGTAAGAAAGCGCACATAGAAAGTTAGGTGATTTACGCCTACCCGGCCATGCGCCAAGGGCCGATCGCGCAGCGTCATCGTTCCCTAGGCCTAGCTTTATAACATGTCCTCCTCGAAGGCTGTAAGTCTTATAAAGCAATGCAAATTCAACGGGCGTCTCTCTTGATTGGGAGGGTCAATGTTCGGACAGAAAAGAGTCACGATTAAAGATCAAGCTCACCCAGATAAAATAAACGCCTCACTTGGCCACAAAGTTTGTACGAAGTGATTCGGGCGATGAGTCCGACAGAGTGCCACCGACTATTTGCTTAACTAGGCCGGCGTGGAGGTCTATACATGGACGGAATCTCGATGGCATTATCCTGCGGATGTAAATAGGCTGGGAATTGTAACAAGAGGGATGAGATGGTTACTTATGTCATCTGATCACGGGTACTTTCGGTTAGATTTCATGACAATTTCATGACCGTCTCCTACCCATGATCCCGAAGCCGGTGGGTGATGTTTTCCTCGTCTGCAGGCGGGGATACATGCTTCTACTGCGTGGAAGAAGTTTTCGTTCACAGTCACCAATTCAACGTCCGCTAACACAACGGACAATCGCTCGTTTGCATCGAGGGTTGACCCGGACGAGCGTGACTTTAGCTTTTCTCGGCCTTGGAGGATGGACGGCATTCGAGACCTCCGATTCGTTCCAGCATTTCGTGCACGCCGTACGGCGTTGCAGTATTATTGGGGAAGCAGTTATCTGTGATGTAATTGACTACAAGCATACTCTTCAAGCAGACTTTGCCACGGAGGAAGAAAAGCTGAATGCACAATCTCGTTGTCACAAGAGAAGCGCCGAGAGGATATTGGAAGCCCTCAAGATTAACGGAGGCGTGTACTAGTTTGTGATACAATCCTGTGTCTGGGGTCGCTAACTTACATTGAAGGACTTTATATCAAGCTGGTGCATCTTCTGTTCTTCAGAGGGATTCTCAAGCTGATGCAGCATGGGATTGTCCAGGGCCAGCATATTTCTTCTGTTAATTTACTACCAATAGAATGGACTGTAAGAGCCCGTCTTTCAGGAAATATGTTGCCCTAGCTGACCTGCATTTCCTCAGTCTACCATGAAACCGCTACAAGATCAGGTGTGACTCACCATTATCCCTCGGAATAATCGCCAATGGCGTATTATATTGCTAGTGCTTCCCAACTCCATACGAAGATGTCGCCGCCTTATTCAAGGAGGAGACCGGGCAAGAATTGGAGGAAGTATTTTCATGGTTCTCTCGAGAACCCATCGGGGTGGCGTCTTTAGCTCAGGTTCATACTGCCATTGATCGAAACACTGGCCGTAAAGTTGCTGTCAAGATCCAGGTGAGCCCGATCGGGTGACAATGGTCCGCGACGACTTATGATGCATTAAGCACCCTCGACTAGAAGAATGGGTACATATCGAGTGAGCCACTCTCCAACCGTTGGGGTAATCCGTGCACGAACTCGATTCTCTTAGCATGGCCGCAACTACTGTCGCTCTGGCATGGGTAAAGCGCGTATTTCCTGAATTCGAGTTTAGTTGGCTTGGAGAGGAGGTTCGAACGAACCTTCCTTTGGAGCTCAACTTTCTCCAGGAAGCTGACAACACTTCCCGGGTCAAGGCCAACTTCGCTGATGTAAAGCATACCTCACTGTACATCCCGGAGGTACTCTCTGCAACCAAGAGAACTCTAGTGATGGAGTTTATATCCGGCGCGCGCGTAGGGACGACCAACTGTTGCACTCGACTCCTAGATAACTGATAGTGATTCATAGGTCGACGATTTAGACTATCTTGCTCGCCATAAAATCGATAGAAATCAAGTTTCACAGGAACTATCAAGGATATTTTCAACTATGGTTTACCTTCATGGTTTCTTTCATGCCGGTCAGTTGGCTATTGCTTCAGCATTGTGGCCGTGCTGTGTCCCATGCTTTCCATCACTAGATCCGCATGCCGGGAACCTCTTAATTCGGCCCAAGCCTGTCCGTTCTCGGAGCCCATATAATTTTGAGATTGCTCTCCTAGATCATGGATTAGTGAGGCTAGCATTTGATGCACTCGAATGATCTTTCTCTGATGTCTCACCTACCGAAGTATTTTGATGTTGATGATGAACTGCGGATAAATTATGCGAAACTTTGGCTGTCACTAATCACACCAGGAGGGAAGGAAGATCGAAGGAAATACGCACAACTTGTTGCAAACATAGGCCCCGATCTCGTATGCAGCACGTCAGTCCCGCTGTTTCTGGACGAAATCTGACTTTTTATCAGTATCCGATATTCGAAAGCTCTATAACCGGGAGGCCGGGGCTGGAAGGCACATGGGAGGATGCCCCGGAGGGAGTATCTGCAAGACCCAGGAGTATGCTTGAGTTATCAACACAATCTGAAGAGGAGTTGGAGCGGATGCGCGGTGCTGTCCTTGAGAGAGAAGGATTGCTCGTGTCAGTGTTTTCAATGCTTCGAGTCGTCCCCCGAGCAGTATTGATGCTATTCAAGATGAATGACCTCCTGAGGTCCGTTTGGGTTAGGTTTACTGTTGTTTGTACTGATTAAGTCTTACTTGGTAGAAATTTGGACGCCGAGCTCAAGACAACTCATGACTCAACCCGAGTCTTTTTGATAGTTGCGAGATACTGCAGTTCAGCAGTTTGGCGTGATGATTGTCGTGGCTTCTTCACTCGCTGGAGAGATTTAGGGGCCTCCATCTCGCTATTCACTGGCTTGGTCAGAAGGTGGTTTGCCTACCATCTTATATATGACGGGCTACGAATAATAGAATGGGAAATGGATTTTGTCGCCCGGTACAGTGTGTTTATGTTGGCGCGATACCTATACTCAAGTGTTTAGCAGAGTGGTCAGGTGGAAACACTGGTTCCGGGGACTTCGTGGTGGTCTTCCATCTGCAAATGCGGCAGCGGCGGGCTTAGGTTAGACGATTGTCGAATTTACTACCGCATAGAAATCCATTATAGATCCAAAGTAATTCAACCCAAAGAAAACAGAAACGTTATTTAATATACTAATGATATCATGTTAAGCTTGGATCCTTTCCGTGAACACCGATCGAGGTCACCCTGATTGGCATCTGGGTGCCTTCCTTCAGCGACCCTTTCACATATGGTCGTGTGACGATCCTGATGGCCGGCGTTAGTAAAGGGGCGACACCAGGCTCGGAGTACTCACACATTGACTTTCCGCACTCTGGGAGGATCGTCAAATCGGAAAGATCGAAGGAGTACAAATAAGAAAGTTTTCATCCTGTGGTGAAAGTCATGAAGGCATTTCAATGCGCATTTCAGTAAGTCAGACTTACTCCATTAACGAAAAACGCATTCCTATACAAGACTGGAAAAAAGGGCATGGGTACGTCATCCATTAGTAGAGGGAATGCACAAACTCTGGGCCCATAACCGAAAGTCATGATATTTGAATATAATCCGGGCGCCGACCGGGCTGCGTCTGGAAGGTGATTCCAACGATCAGGTCTGTAATGTTGGGAGATGATCAGGTTACGTGTGGGATCCGGTGCGGGTTACGTACTTGAATTCATGCGCGTCTTCACCCCAAACATGCTTAGCCAAGTTCAACCCTTCGAAAGGGATATGGATGTATTCTCCTTTTGCTATCTTAATTCCACTTGGGTGCGCTTCCACCTTGATAGTCTTCCCTTTCCTGTCCTCCCAGCGCATTGGACTGGATATAGGTATAATATCATCCTTAAGTGCCATTCTGATGGACGAGTGGACAGGTGGGATGGACCGAAGAATTTCCTTGCAGACATTATCAAGATAAGGAAGTTTGTCTAGCTGAACGAAGAAGTCGGCTGTGGCAAATTCATTGTCTGCAGACATGCCACCCTCCTCATCCACCAGCTCATTACGAAGTCGCTGTTGGATATCCTGGTGTTGGGCGAGAAGAAGGATACACCATGATATTGCTAACGAAGTCGTGTCCGACCCAGCGAATAAGAATGTATTGATCTGATTCGCTATACTGACGTCCGTTATCCTTTGGGAAGGATCGGTTTCTGGGGCCAGATTCGATCGAACTAGGAGAATATGTCTGAGTCTCAAGTCTCAAGAAGAGAGCTCGTTCGCACCAAGAAGGGACAATAAGTCACGACTCTCTTTGTTCCCCTCTTGAAACTCGCGTTTCTTTTTCTCTACAAGTGTCTTTCCAGCCTCGGCAATAGTGGCTTGGCTTGCTTCATTAATCCTGACCTCTCTTGTACGCTGCCCATGCAATAATCAATATTCGGCTGGAATGCTTGGAACACATCAACGTACGAAGACGCGTCGTATGAATGGAAAGTACATGGAGGCAAGGTTAAACATGGATTGGCCCTGATTCACGGTCTCATCGAACCTGCCAAACTGTTAGCCAAGGCGCTTTGATAGACAAGTGCAACATACATGACTTTGTACGCTAAATACACGGCCTCGTTCTCTTCCTCAATAGCATTGAATTCATAGCCAAATCCTATGACGGAATGCCGAACTAAGCATAGATCCAACGAAAAATATGGTATGGACATGCCTGCCACACCTATCACATCGAAGGTAGCACGGCTAATCCATCGCGACACGTTGAGAATCGAGCCATCTCGGGGGACCTCCATCAATGACAGCCATTTGTCTCGCAGCTAGCAATTCTCAACGCTCTGGAAAACGCAGTATGTGTGATTTTACATACTTGGAATGCCTTCGTGAAGAATACAGGGGTGAGGGCACGAAGATTCGATGGCGAGAATGCGGGATTCATCACTTTACGCTATTTACATTCTGTCAGAAGGCTGTTAGGAACCAATGTTACGATTCACCTGTTGCCTGTGTTGAGGACCTTGGATCGCGATAAATTTCAACATAATCATCATAACACAAAAGAATGACAACCTTCAGTAGCGAGAAGACCTGGTAATCCCATTAGGAATATCTCAAAAAAAAAAACCTAAATTTGGAATTCATACCTTCACCAATAAGGTGAGCTAGGTAGCGTCTTGAAATGGTTGGTTTTTCATAGAGTTGAGGGTTGTGAAGGATGTAATGCACGGCGCGGGGGTCTAGCGTCAGGAGTCTGTTGTCGAACTGAACCCACCCATGAGCGTAGAGCAATAGGAAAAAAATGAAGATCACACACCCAATTGAAGCCCTTGATGCGCAAATTCAAGCCAAAGCGCTTGGACCACTGGTCTTGTGCAGCAGCTGACCAGATAGGGCTATGAATGGGTGGATAATGAGCAACGAGCTTTGCGATTTTGCATACAACACTGGGACACTCCCGACATACGTACTCCATCGCAAACGTGAGGTGGTTTGCAAAGATTCCCCGACTAATTGGTCCGGGGAGCCGTCGCAGTGGTGAACGGATTGCTTTCACCACATACTCATAAAGTAACCATGCAAGCGCGCTAGCCAACAGGACTACGACCGACTGAAAAACGGGACCCATGAGGCTAAGAGATGATGGAGATAGAGTGCCAATGCTGCGGTCATAGGTGTTGCTCTATTGTGCATTGTTTGCTACTTTATTGTGCATTATTTGGCATCTACCAATTTGGTAATTAAGTGTAAGCGCCAGGATGACTTTCGATCAGCCATCTCAGAGGACGGACTGAGAGTTGGTGTAGGGAGATCAACGTCCCAGATGGCGGCGAGACAGAAAGGAGTAAACAGTGCCCGGGAGCAGCTGACAATATTGTCTCTCTCGCAATGCCACAGCTCATATGCACCAGAGGCTGGTCACCTACCAGCTTTGGGACTTGAATTATCTGGTCCACTTATCTTGATAGAAGAGCCCTCATGGCTCTGTTACACGCGTAAATCAATGATGCTCAAAAAAAAGAAGGGATGGCGTGACAAGAAAGAAACCAAGACCTGACTTATGAGTGGTTGGCGATGAGCTCGTCGATTAGCCCGGTGCTTTCTTTCAGCGCGCCCCAATTTTCGACTACAAAAATACACGGTCGCATCTGTGCAGTAGCGGGACGCACTGGAAGACTGACCTGTAAGGCTTATCCCTTTCTTTGATGGTTTCTCTTCTCCACTCGCGTCTGTGTAGAACTAGGTAAAAACGGTTAGACACACCACGCGCGCTGTACTGGTATTCAACGCAATCTCGCCTACCTCACGAATGTGCACATACGTTTTGCCTCGAGAAATTATGAATCCAGTGCGTAGACTCTGAGTGGAACGGTAGATAAAACTCACCTCTGAAGGCGCTAACAGTTGCGCGACGATTCGAACCAATTGGCACATAGCTATGCCCTTCCGCGTCCACCAACACTTTAGAGCCGGAAGTAGCTACTGTGTCAGGTTTCAATTTCTTAGGCTGAGGGCTCTCCTAGAAATTGCGCGACTCCAGGTCAACGTCACTTCATAGACCCCGAGGAACGGTACAGACTTGTTCATCTCCGGTGCTTGGGTCAGAAGTATTCACAATGTCCTCAGATTTAGCCTTTCGTTTCTTCCCAGCGACGTCCTGTGTCTTTGTGTTAGAAGCTTGTTTCTTTCCCCTAGCTGCTGAGGGTGGCATATTTTGTCAGTTGGGACGGAAATGTGAAGTGAACAATTGCATTCAGAATGAAGTCCGAATGTGAAGAATTGAATTGACGGTGCCGGTCGCGTCCCTATAATTCCCTGGCTTCCATTCGAATCATTCGAAACTCCCCTCTTCAAACTTCAGCATCAGAACGCGACGACTTACGCTGCGATTCGTATATCGAACAATTTACAGCTGCCAAAGCATGTCATTCTCCACCAAAAGCGCGAAGGACCTTCTTGACTCCGCGGACGCGACTTATGTGGAAGACCCCGCGCCAAGTTCGCAGGCGGTCGTCACGTCCTCGCAAGAATCGCAAAGCACCTCCACCACTCGCCCTGAGAAGAGCGTGGCAGAGGAGGTCACTACGAAGATGACTTCTGTTAAGCGCCAAATGGCTTTGACTGAGATGTTCGGGTCTGCAAATAAGAAAGCAAAGACGAATGCCGGAGCGGTCGTCACTAGCACGTCTGAGAGCTCGGACTCCGTATCTCCCAAGCCCGTAGCACGCAAAATTGGGGGAGTAACGCCTTTTAATGCAATCCCTCTCAATTTGGACACGTTCACCACTTCTCTCGACGAGGTAAATGCGTCAAAATTGGGTTTCAAGTAGTCATGCGTTATGCTAACGTGAGGACGCGATACAGGAAGAAAAACGTCTACTTTCCCTTGAGTGTGCGACCATGGGGCGGACTTGGGTATGCCTTCGAATATTATTCGCGTTTACGAGTTTTATCTGAATACCTCATAATAATAGCTCAAAGTCCTAACGTCCGAGATTCGGAAGCCGTATTTCATTCAGCTTAAGCGCTTTCTTTGGTCTGAAGGGGTTGAAGGCTCATCTGATCAGTCAAAAAAGTCGCCTAAAATATTTCCTCCGCGTAAGTCAACAGGTCAATATTTAGAGGATCTGACGTTGAGGATTTGTCCAGCGAAAGACATTTACAACTGGTCTCGTGCCACTGAGCTGGGAAAGTTAAAGGTCGTCATCATTGGGCAAGACCCATATCACGGACCTGGCCAAGCTCATGGCCTGTGCTTTTCCGTCAGGAAAGGCGTCCAGGTCCCTCCATCGCTTAAAAATGTTAGTTTCGCACGTTCCAGTCCTTGCAATGTATCGTTGATGGATCGTGGTGCCTAGATGTACCAAGAAATAGCCTCGAACTATCCTGGTTTCGAGCCACCGAAGCACGGGTTTGTATTCATCGACGAATTTTCTTAGAGTCGTCGAACTGACTTACCCATTGACAGGGATCTGACGAGCTGGGCTCAACAGGGTGTGCTGCTAATTAATTCGTGAGTCCATGGAACAATTATCGAGTGCTCAATGTCGAATCGTCTCCTCTCTGAAGGTCTTTGACCGTGCGCGCAGGAGCTCCTGCCAGCCATGCTAACAAAGGATGGGAGTTATTCACTGATACCGTTATCAGCCTCATTGATAAGTATGGAGGTAGGCAAGGCCTTGGTTCGTCGTGTTTGAACTCCAATCCAGCCTCTGCATCACCTAGGCGCTAGTCTTTCGAAGACGAACGGCGGCATTGGAAGAGGGGTCGTCTTCCTGGCGTGGGGTGCCCCCGCTGGGAAGCGTGTTGCTAAGCTCGACAAGAAAAAACATCTCATCCTAACCAGCGCTGTCAGTGATAATCGGATTCAAGTTTGGAAGCTTGCTGACCCTGAGCTTTGGGACAGCATCCATCCCCTCTTAGCGTGCATAGAGGATTCTTCGGAAACGGGCATTTCAAAAAGGCCAATGACTGGCTTCAGTCTAAATATGGCGTTGAATCTGTTATTGACTGGTGCAAATTAGATTAGATGCAACAACAATCATATCGCAGTACCGTAAGTGTGGTTTGTTGTCAACAGGCACGTATCGCAACTAAACTGGATCCACCAGAAACTATGGCTCGCTTGTACCATACAACAATTGTCTAAGTCTTAGCGCACCATGTGTACCATAGAATCATGGTCAGTTCCAAAATACTTTTGTGCCGTGTTGTCCGGTTGACTTGGCATTTGGACAGGAAACGTTTGATATCTATTCGACATTCAGCTTATCTCAGCCTGAAGTAGATAATTTTGGCCACCGATGCCTCATAATTGAGACCATTGTTAAAAAGATGGTAGTTGGCATGAGGGGTGATATTTGATTTGCGATGTGATCCTGGAGCATTTGAGTAGTCGGTTTCTAACAGAAGGCATGGATTTGTTTCTGCTTCTGCAATCGTGTTTCGTGTCGAATAGTGCTTGCATGGGCATGGATTTCTAGATGAGGTTCTGGCTTATAATTGGACGAATCTTAAGCCGCACTACGGCTGTTCTCAACAAGCAGCCACGAATTTTGGCCCAAATTATGGGACAAGCTTGGGTGAAACCGTTCGCGAGGTTCTGAAAGGGGCAAAGCAAAATAACGCTGAATTGCTAGGATTGGGGAAACTACAATGTTCTAAGGACCCAAGAGCTAGCATTGTTAACAGCGGGGATTGGCGTTACATCGTCTTAGGAAGACATCAAGCCAGAGTGATGACTAAATTACAGCGGCCAACAAAAAAAATTGGGATTCTCGATTTTTGTCGGCCGTACTGGCGTGATCAAGATCAGCAGATAAATACAGAATTCATGTTTTCACCATGTGCGTTCTGGCTAGATCACAGCTAACCGGATACAGTGACGCCGGGGGCAATGTCGCTTGATGAAAGGCCAAGCAGGACATCTCATTCATTTGTAGAAGGATAACATAACTTGGATCGCACAAGAATTGGTTTGGTGAGACGGAGATATTGGAATAATAAGTACTTCGACCCCTTCGCCGCCCTAGTAAGAACTTGTGGGCCAAGCTAGCATCAAGGAAGGTAGCATCCGCAATGTTATACTCGCTCGAAGATCAGAGCCAATCTGGTTCGAAGGGATCCGGCAAATCGGAAAGGTACTCATATAGAACGATATTTGACTCGGACTTAGACCTTGCTAACTGGAACGTGTAAGGTGCAGTATCTATCGTTATTCCCTTAAGCTCGATGCGGAGGGGGGTGGAAGTCTGAAGGTCCCTGACATAGGGCAAGCGGAGAAGATAGCACGCCAATGCATGATCCCACTTGTAAGCCATCCCTGAAAGCTGAAATTCGAGCTGCAGTAAGCGTAGCGAGGGACACAAAACTGAGCCATTGATGACGATATTGGAGGATGACCCTGGGTCGACGCACAGACGTTCCAGCCAAAGCGGGTTGTGGGCACTATCCAATCCCGAGATGCAAAAACAGTCAAGCCCAGAGTGATGAAAAAAGAAATCCGTCAGGTGGCTAACATCGATGTTGCCTGAGTCGATCTCAGCAGCACGCAAGCAGGGAAATTGGGAGGAATGGAGTACTGGTGGAGGGGGTTTTGAATTATCCAATTGAATGTACTCCAGCCGGTCTGCGCTTTGTGGGAAGAGTCCGTGGTGCTCGGAGACGCCTCGGAGGGTGAGGGATCGCAAATACGGCAGTGCTGTGAATCCGGTTACGGGACTCACCACATCTTCAGGATTGTCAATCTGCACGAGGAGGTATACAAGATTGACAGCAGCGCTGATGGCACTTGGGATTGATGGATGATAGGCATACAATGTAACATGAGTCAGATTAATTGCATTGACGGTAGAGAATGAAGGGATTGAACGTGATTGGAATCGTAAGCGGCGGATTGGAGCATCAGAGAGAAGATGAAAAAGAGCATCCAGACCATCTGTAGAGCTCGGATAACGAACTGACACCTCCTGCAAGGAGGTTAAGACTGAAAACTCGGGGATCCGATCCGCAAGTGTCAAGCGCTGGATCCGATGGTGGTGCAGGCTGTTGGCGGCGAGACAGATATGTTTGCCAAAAGTAACCGCAAGAGGCGCTTGCTGGGATCGGTCCAGGAATAATTGCGTCAACTTCTCCGGGAAGAACCTTGAAAGCGTCCCCCACTATAAACCAAGTATTAAGAAGTGAACATGACGAGCGTAAGAATATACCCACAAGACTAGGTTTACCGATTGCAACCTCTCTCCATCTAAAACACGTTGAAGCATATACCAAGACTGGGAGAGAGGATTCTCTCGTTCGGACGCCAAGCGCAAATATTAATTCCAAATTTTCATCTGGCAGTTTTCCTATCCCTGTCTGGCGATTTTGGAGTCGCTTCTCCAGTATCACCAATTTGTCAAGTTCCTTGCTGGCTGCAGATGAAACCTGCTGGAGAAGAGCCAATTCTTTCTCGACAACATACTTCTTGGAGATTACTTCGGGAAGCGCAAAAATTTTGCTGCTAAAGTCTTCCTCAGTGGGAGAGTCACCGCCATGAACTTTCTCAACACTCACCGCCCTAACCTGGAGATCTCCTCATCATTAGGCTTCAAAAGACGGCTCTGGAGAGAGTTTATAAGTGCCTTGGTGCTTCTTTCCGGCTCAGTATCCATGAGCAATGGCCAGCTTCGCTGAGTCCCTAACCGCTGATCGGTCACCTGGGTCAGAATGGGTAGATGTTGATAATCAAGCTCAACGCTAGAAACTCACCAGGTCTCACACAACAGTGCCACTAGCCAGATAGATGCGAGGGAGGGGATGCATTGGCCAGCTTTAATTTAACACCGTCAAAGTGCTTATGTAAGGTGGCCGGGCGGCTGATGTGAGACAACAACGGTTGACTCGGGGTTTCCGCACAAGGATACCCGACCCTACATTATGTCGCTGAGACGTCCGATGATTGATGTTGGGTTTCATTTCTACTTGCCAAGTTGCTCTTTATTGTTCTTACTATTGTAATAACACTAAAGTGCAACTCAGACTGAGGTATGTTTATTCCAATCTGTTAGTCGCCTGATGGCTCTTACTCCTCAGGTTACATTCGAGTAATCGACGCTTAAAAGCTCGATGTTTACTTCCTGACACCCTCAGTTCTCTTTGCGTTCACACTCGCACTCTAGAGGTAACCTCTAGAAATGCCACTGCATGACTTGTTGTTGATCATGAACGGCTCGGCTGACAGTTGGAGGAACCTTGGATCGTCAATTGAACCAAACTGCAGATTTGTAAGTTACGACGAATTTGAGTCGGTCTCGAACCAAACCCTTGCAGGTACACAACTCAGAGAGCCGTTACTTGCATCAAAGCGTATTAGCGGCATTGATGGCGACGGTACGGTGAGGAATTACAAGTCCGTATCGTTGTCCATGTCATTTGCTGAGGTCTCGGCTAGTTCCGGGGGGTTTGCTCTATACTAATGGAGGCTGGTGAGGCGTTTGCCCGTTTGTCTTCTTCTGAACTGAGCCGAAACCTGGATCCGTGCGGGGTGGTTGAGGACTTTCAGGTTCAATGTCAGGTGTGTCGGAATACCTCGGATGTGGCAATGAGATGGCTACCCGGCGGCTAAACCCTCGGAGGTTAAATCCCAATGCCCATAAGGCTGCGGCTGGGCGCTTGTCACCTCAGGGAGAGATCCTTGCGGGTCAAACCATTGGAGGTCACCGACGACACATCGGAACTAACGTTGGACGGAAGCTATGTAGTTGGAGATTTGTAATGATTTGAATTGACGCAATGCCCGATGGCATCATGTGGAAATGCGTCATTTACTCCTGTGGCGTTCGTTGGGCATCTCCTTGTCCGCAGCTCCTCCAACCCCATATAAGTCCCTCGCGTCCACCAAAGACGACATCTCCTTCCATCAAAGCTAATTTGTCTAATAACAGTATGTCTGAGCAAACTGGAAGTAAGTGTTCACTGTTCGGTTTCAAGAACGAGGGAATCAAATTCGATCTCTGCACATACAGAATTTATCGTCGTCTTCAAAGACTCTGCCACCAAAGTTGGTCCATGCATCTACTATCCATTACTCAATCTTCACACTACGCCGATTTCATAGGAAGAGATTGAACAATACGCCGAAAAAGTCAACAACAATGGTATGTGCGCTATGATTTCAAATCGGTTCAGATGAGATTCATTATCTATTCTAGGCGGCGAAGTCACAAACAGATACGATGGCGTTTTGAACGGCTTTGCTGCCAAACTCACCCCGCAGCTGGCCAGCAGCTTTCAGGGTGACAGTATCATTGACTATATCGAACCAGACGGAGTGGGTGTTTTCCTCCAAAACATTAATGGCTGATGTGAACCATGACTTACTGATGTTATTTGTGGTAGATTGTAACTACCCAGTGATAACGTCCATCATGTACGGCTTCGGCGATCTTTGTAATCTACCACTGTCAGTCAGCTTTCAATCCAATGTATCGTTGTGATTATAAGGTGGGTAAGCCGGTGAAGAGAAAGCGTGGTAGTTCCGCGGAAGATATAAAACAACTATATATAGCGTGGAAGCCACATCGTACTAGTCAGTCGGCGCGGCAGGATGATGATGGTCATGTCGAAAGAAAATAAGCGATACAACAGGCAGGAGATTATTGCAATGGTATGCATGAATTGGGTCGTGAGTCTCGTGAATGGTCGTGAATCAAGACAATTAGAAAAGCGAGGCTCGATCGTTAGATAAGGAGTATTAATTCGGTCCATGCTCCAGTGTTCAACTGCCGAAGTGGCGTAGCTTGTATTATTAAAACCGAGTGCAGGAGGTGCTTGTAATTCCCCAAACCGATAGACTAGGTTCCACGAACTAGCCCTTGGGTTTTATAGGGAATAGGGGGAAGGGGTTGATCATTCGATGAAGAGGGGCCGGCAGAAGCCGCTGGTGGCTTAGAAGGATTAGGGGGGTCCGGAAAGTCCCAAGGGCGTGGAACCAATGCTATAGGCACCACCCATGTTGCAGCGCAGACGACCCCCTTGCCCTGATCCTAAAGTGGGGACGGGGGGTAATGAAACGGCTGTTAGGCGTCGAAAATATACCGCAAAACGACGCACCTTGGACTTGATGAAATCCCATTCCGAGTCAACAAATTGCGCGATGTACTTGATGAACGGTAAAATCTCTCGGACACCTCCAACAGCGAAAGCGAGACATGTGAGGATGTAGATGATGACGTTTGCAATAGATTCGGCGCGCTTGTGAAAAGGAAAGGAAAGTTGTTAGTTACACGGGAACACGCCGGCGCCCATTAAACGCAACTGATAAATATTGAATCGTAGGCTCTGGTAGCACCAGTTCATATCCCCACCTGGATTGGGACTTGAGTCACGCAGAAAAAAATAATCTGCAAAAGATCGACGTACCAATCTGTCCAAACGAAGTTGGATGATTATCAATTATCGCGGGACTTTTGGGTGGGGGGACTCACAAGTGATTACCGACAACCTGTCAGTTGGGGGATAGATTCCTTTATGATTGGGCAATAATCCTTGGAGAGCCACATCCCCCGGAGGGTCCAACGGTCCACCCAAGCCCATTGCCAGGAGTTGAGCTGATACGTCGTTCATACCATCCACTATCGTTTTAGGGGATGGTATGGCTCCCATCAGCGTCGCGTCAAGGCCCACATTGTTGAATAGTATAGATTGCGGAGAAATTATATGGGGTTCGACATATTCTTTCACTGAAGCGCGGGGTCCGAAACCGGGAATCGCTATCCGAGATAATGGGATGATGGGAGGAGTGGGGACGCTGCCACGCGAAAGTGGATTGACCAGACGGATACGACTGAGCGAAGATAGTATGGAACCTGAGCTTGGTGGAGTGGATGACGAATTGACGGCCGCCCCGTCATCTGAGGGTTTCCACAACGAGAAGATCTTATTATTCGCATCTTCATCGTTGTACTCGAGGCAAACGGCATGCACAGCTGTCGAGGTGATCGCTGCAGGCTGAGGATTAGGGGGTTTAGAAACAAGGTTGACTGGAGAAGCGGAGAAAGGAGCCGTAGTGTCCCCAGTTGTGCTTGCAGGCTTAGGAGTGATACGGTGATGAACAGGTGGTGGAAGTGATTTCAGACTAGCGATAACAGTGTTGGCAGCTGTCTCGTCGAGTAATTCTCTGTATAGCGTCGCCCGAGACTTCGACGAATCCGACTGCTTGGGTTTTGGACGGTATAAATAGCGCCATACTTTTCGATTTCTGGAAGAGTCTTGGGACGAGGACGAATGGATCGCGGGTTTGGAGCCAGAAAGGACCGCTTTGATCGAAAGAGCAGTGGGGTGGACTTCCGGCTGGGAGGGACGGGTGCAATCTCTACGTTTCATGAGCTTATTAGGAGAGAAGCAGGAGAGGATCCGTGGCGGCGTGCGAGACGGGGGGGAGGTATCTCTGACATTCGGAGCGGGATCGACTGAAGATGCAAACATGGTTTGGCGTTTGGGTGACTATTTTAAAGAGTGCTTGAGGGTCAAAGGAAGGTCTCAATGATCGACTGAGAAGAAGGCTGTTTATAGTCAGAATAGGTCGTGTTTGCTTAGGGGTAAGGGTTGTGACATCCGCATTTCCTCAGCCCTCCAGGATGGGTTGAAGGCGAGCCACGTTGGGGGAAAGAGGAGGGGAAAGGGGGACCAATCCGCTAAGCGGTGTTCTGAGAAGAGTAAATCCAGTCATTCAGGGTAGAAATGGCTGCTGCTGCTGCTGCCGAACTTGCCCTAGTAGGTGCCTGAGAAAACCTACAAAACCTCAACTTAGGAGCCTGGAACCCCTGTTGGTTTTGCTTCCGAATAAACCTTTGCGGGCACACCTTGGCATACGACTTGTACGGGGTTTCTGGCCGCGCCATCGTTCAGTAAATCTGCAGGGCTGACGGTCGCAACAATCGATTTAAGGAGGGGAGAACGGGAGTGAGCGGTCTGCGAAGATAATCCATGTCGTCTTTCTCCTCTTCAAGGGAAAGTTATGGGTTAATTATTATCATCAAAGCTCAGATCGTCTTTCTCCTCTCTACTCTTAGCGAAGATAGATATGGAAGGCGGGTTTCGCATCCTCCTCATTGAATGACCTGATTGAACTAATCCTTACCCGAAATCATGTACCCTTACTGGTCCATAGCAATCAGGCTGAAATACGATCACTTTGCGAGCAGCATGGGGTAGAGGCATATCTCCATTTCATTCGACGACTCATAGCAGCGTCAGCCTCTCGACTTCAGTCATCCTCCAGCAGTACCTCACAGCAATATGACACTTCATCCGCACTCACATTCCGTCTCCTCGTTCAAGAAACCCAGAGGCTAGCAAGGGACCCATTCCGTGCGGACTGTTTCCATGATGCAGTGAACAAGGGCGAAGGGGATATTTTTCGGCATTTTGACCTGGCGCGTTTCGTAGAGCGGGTAGAACTTAAGCCACTTGAGCAGCTCATCTTGGCGAGTTCCGTCGTGAGCGGCAGCAATCGTCGAGAACTTACTGCCCAAGCTGCCCTGATGGTTCGTGTTAACCTCGAAGATGCTGCTCGGGCATTGGTAGCCCGCCCCAGTTTTGAGCCTGTTCCGGGATCATCTGTTACGTCCAGTGCTTCGGGCTCCGCGGATGATTTGACTCCTCAGCAACTTGCCAGGCTGTTGAGTCATTTGCTGAGCGATCCACCCCCTGACAGTCCCATATTGGACCCCGTACAGCGAGTCAAGCTCATTTCGGCAGCGCAGGTGAAATTCGGCCAGGAAACAATAGGGCCCATCCTACGAAGCATCTTTCCAAAGTTAAGGTTCGTCGTTCCCCCTCTCCATCGAGGTGTTCTCTTGTTCTCCCTAATGCTTCATCCAGCCTTTCGCCCGGTACCTCACTCGTAGAGGCACTTTGTCAACTAGGTCCAGGACTGACAAGTGATCCTGACACTGTGTTGGCGCTTCTACAGCGTTTTGGATTGTCAGCATCATCTCCTCCTCATGAAAATCAGGTAGTTCAAATCTTGTCGACACTGGCCCGTTATTCTGCTGAAGGCACACCATTGTGTGATGTTGCATCTCTCATAATGGCGATTTGCAGCATGGTGGGTGTCAAATGCATTGTTCGGTAACACTGGCATTTACAACTTGAGCAGTCGGGCTCCATAGACTGGTGTAACGTTCTTTTATATGCCTTTGACCACCCAGGACGGCCGAGAATCGGTACTGCCACTTTGAAGCTTCTCGCTGCAATCTTCCGAAACACTCCTAGGGACAGTGCCACGCCTTCCATTTGCGCATTTTGGAAGGCTTGGAGAAACACTCTTTACCAGCTTCGCCTCCTTGATGCTCTCCTTTCACTCCCAAATGATACATTCAATTTAGTCAGTTTGCCTGGAAGGCGTATTTTCACTGTCGATGATGTTGCTGGAGCAAGTTCCACCATCAAAGCTCTTGTTGCGAATGTGCAAGGCCATACCTGGAACTCCTTAGATCTTATCGAAACTTTGGTGAGACTCGGAGATTCCGACACCCCAAATGTGGCGCAATACGTCAGAAAAATGCTTGAAAAAGCAGTTGAGATCAGTGCGGAGTTGGTTTGCATGGGCCTCCTACAAGTTGCGGTACGTCCCTTCGCATAGGATTGTACTCTTATTAATGAACCACAAGCAGAAACCCTGGGGCCCAACGCAGCAAGAGTATTCTACCGAGCTGTTTAACATGTTTTTGGCTGGGCGCCCGAATCATCAGCTCGTCTTCATGCGCATCTGGCAAATTGATCCCGAGTATTTGACTTCGGCATTCAGTTGTTCCTATGCAGAAAGCCCGACGAACATCACCAGGATACTAGAGGTGGTGCAGGATTCGAGGGTGCGATGTCTATGTAAACATGGTCAGGTCCGGATGCCGATTATCCCACTTCTTGTCAGATCCTCGATTCTCCACTGGTCGTTTCTAATTTCGTCTTTGCCCTGGATGTTGCCGCCCTTGCGTCTCGACGGGGGTATTTCAATCTTGACAAGTGGCTGTCTGATCATGCTATCACACATGGTGAAACATTCATCCACGCAGTGCTAGAGTTTTTGGACGTCAAAATCAGCAGCGAACTCGCACGGCAGGATCCTGGAGTCAAACACCAAACCGTGCCCCTCAACCCCCAGACTATCACTATATTTATCCGTATGCTGCGTAGCAGGTTGGTTACGTCCAACAAACACATACAAGAGCTCTTACAATTCATCTGTTCGCAGCAACATGTCTCCGACCGATGCAATATACTTTACTGAGATTCGTAATCTCAGCTATCGGCTTCATCCCAGACTTATGAACTTGAACCCAGGTTCTGATGGAGAGCCTGGGCTCACCTTTGTCACTTTTCCTCCGGAGATTGAAACTGAAGTTGAGACGATCTATCGGAGAATGTATGATGGTAACATCTCCGTCGGTGTGGTCATTGACATGCTGCGCGAGTCAAAAAATTCCACCAATCCAAGGGAAAAGGACATTTTTGCTTGTACGCTTCATTCGCTATTTGACGAGTACAAGTTCTTCCAATCGTCTTATCCTGAACTGACTGGGTATCTCTTCGGGTCGATCATTCAATTCCGTCTCATTGATTCCATCCCTCTCGGCATTGCATTGAGATATGTTCTTGATGCAGTCCGGAGCCCGCCCGGCTCCAATCTCTTCATGTTTGGCATCGAAGCCCTTATTCGCTTCGAGTCCAGATTACCTGAATGGCCCCCTCTTTGCAATGCACTTCTCCAGATACCTCACTTTCAATTGACTAGCCCAGCGATAGCTGAAAGAGTACGTCATGCTTTTACTATCGCTAAAATTGGGTCTGGGGAAGTGAGCAATAATACAGGCGAAAAGGCTTATGTGGAGCCACTGGAGGGTATGGAGGACCTATCTAGGAGCGGGATGGCGGATGCTCAGGCTCGTCATATGGAGCCGATGAGGCAGGTGCAAACACAGGCACACACTCAAGTAAGTGATGTTGAGGTGAGAGAGAGGTGACAGATCTACTTCGGTTGTACTGATTTGTTGAGTATGCCCTCCATGAACTTTATAAACCATCATGGACCACTTCAATTGCAGGACCTGCCGTCCCTGGGCCAACATGCACCCAATGCGATGCAGGAGATGAATGCAACGACTGCGCACAAGTTGCTCTGCGCGGAGCTTGCGAAGATACAATCACCTAATCTTAGGGAAAAATCGATTACGATCATAGGCGGCGCAAGGGTCGAGGTAGCTTTGGGGATGTCTACATGGGGAAATATGTAGGGACTGTATGTTGACATGTCATTTTATCCATGCTTTCGGGGGAAGGGTTCTTCTGACTTTTCAAACTTGATGTGTGCAGGCTGCCGATGTTGTCTGCGTGAAAGAGCTTAGCACGGCAGTGAATCTGGTGGAGTTAGGTCCATGGGAAAGGTTTCTTAGAGTGTGTCAATAGTGTCTCCATTTGCCGATCGACTGATCACTTGTTTATCACTTTGAGTAGTTGCTAAAGCGCGAGGTAAAGATATGGCATGGTCTGGAACACCGAAACGTGGTCAAGTTTATTGGTTGGACATCGAGGGCCTTCGAAGACACTCTGACTGTGTGCTTGATATCGACTTGGTGTGGTGATGGGAATGTCAAAGAATATCTTGCGAAACACCCAGAAGCGGATCGTCAAGGCTTGGTGAGTTTGATGGCTCTCAGGTATATGTTTGAAAGCACGTTGGTCAGGGATTGGTCTACTTGCACTCCCGGCATGTCATCCACGGCGATATCAAACCCGTGAGTTAGATTTATCTTTATTCACAAGTCTTCTACACTATCACAGGCAAATATCGTTGTATCAACGGAAGTCAATGCCGTTGCACATCTGTGTGATTTTGGCTTATCCTCAATTCTGAACGACACTGTGACAACACGTGCGCAGGCATCAACCATCTGTGGCACTCTTCGATACACATCACCTGAATTATTTAGCGGCATTTCCATCCAACGGAATGAACTGAGTGATATCTGGGCATTTGGATGTACGGCAACTGAGGTGATTGCTTTAAATATTGACATGGGGCAATTCCACTCACGTAGAGAGCAGATCCTCACCAATCAACCTCCCTTTAATTGGATAGAGCAAGATATCCGAATACCCTCTGTCATTGATGGGCAACTTCCATATGATGGGGTGGTTTTAGGTGGTTTTGGGATGCTTCTCTCCCTTTGTTTTGAACGTGAACCAGACAAGCGACCAAGGATTCATGAGCTTTGTTTGCATTTAAGGTGAGTAGATCCCTTGAATTGCTGTTGGGGCATGCTGTTAATGATTTGTGGAGACAGGCAGGTGTGAGGCCACAGATTGTTCATGTCTGAACAGTCCTTGTCTGTGTTATAGCTTGAAGATGCTTCAATCCCTGAAACCAATTCACCTTTGAAGTTGCAGTCAGTTGCTGCCCTCATGTCATATCCTGGAATCCTCATCCTAGCCTCCACTCATCCCACTCCCTTTCTGGCTACTCCAGCATCCTTCCTGACTTAATACTCCTGTTGGGGGTTGGCAAATGAGGGGAGATGTCTGAGAAAGAAAGAAATATCCTTGCCTGGAAAACCATCCTGCTCAGCTACACAACATGTATTCATTGTTGACTGTTACAGAGTTGGGTTTTGGGAAACCCACTCTGACCCATTCTTATAGATGAGTACAAGGGCTTGTTGACCTCATCTGAGCTGGGTGGTATGATCTCTGAGACTGCAGTCATATTGCCTGAGTTATCATCAATATATGAAGAACATGTTGATCTGTGTTGTCCACATGCCTGGGGCAAACATTGGATATTGTCATATCCATCCATGACCATCATCCTCCACTACCTCTGGTCCCTCCAGATTACCTCCACTCCTTTGTCACTAACCTCAGAGCCTCCGTATTCCACAATCACCTCCAACTCCCTCAATGGTCACCACCCCCTCAATCCAATATACATATTACCTACGCCTCCCTAAGTACAGATTCCCAAAGGCCTCTGGACAGCTCCAACATCCACTAGCGCACTCTGTTAGGTACGGGTCAGCAAACGGGGATGACTGGCAGGGACAAGGCTCCGGGGTTGGGCTTCGGCCTCAGCGACTCCAAGAGAGCGCTGTGCCCACCTACTGTCTCATTGCCCACATTTCGAAGTGGCTTGAGGCTGCCTTGTTAGGGGGGACAAAACCTAGTTGATATTCAGACTAAAGTTATAATAATGTAATATACATATATATATAGTAAGAAACTGAATGGGTCAGGTGACAAAATGAAACAAAAGGAAACAGAATAAGGGCCGGCATCTGGGTCAGAATGCATGGTCGTGACACACTCCCACCTCCACTGGGCAATTCACTTGCTTGCCCTGCAAGCCTACCTTTGGGCCAATCCCTCCTTTCTGTTTCTGGGCTATAGCCTGCCACTCCACTAACCCCATAACCCAACTCATCGGTAATATTCAGTCAGCTAACATTTAACTCCATTAGCTCTGCTCTGCTTGGTCCTGCCCTCTATGTAACTATATATACATAACTTGTAGATACAGTCATTCACGGGCCAATGGTTCACATTTTGTAATTTTGAGACTATGACATTGGATCAAAACCAAATACAAAATTTTTACGACGGATAGTAGCCAGGCTGGGTATGTACATATTACTGAGAGATATAAAGAAATGGATGAAAAATGAACGAGAATAAAAGCAGACAAGGAAATGGTGCTTTCCTGGCTCAATGGTTCAGTGTGACATGGTGTGACAATTAGTTCACATGCCGAACCGATAATTCAGTAATATGGCATGAAGCAAGGGTTTGCAGAATATTTGCTCTACTGCTTGAGCTGCTTTGCTTGTGCATTGTCAGGGAGTGGGCCATTACTGATTCTGGTGAAAGCAGCAGGCACAGAAAGGAATATATTTGAGGTACTGAATTTGGAAACTCGGATGTAAGTATCCCCAAGTCTGACAAGTGCTCGTTCACCACAACAAACAAACATGCGCACATGCGCCAGCGGCCTTCTGTTCCTTGGTAACACACCAAGCTATAGGACACACTGCGATGTCATAGCCATGTTCCTGGAGAGTGCAAAATGCATAACTTTTGTGTGCACCGTTAACTCGTTGAACAACTGCTGTCACTCCTTCATTTTATGTCCGATTTGGTCAAATTTTTGCGTAGTCATAGCCATAGTTATAATATACAAGTGTGCAAAAAATAAAAAAATCCCAGGGTGAAATAAGGATGTTACATGCAAATGAACCATTGAGGGGTGTGAACCATTGGCACGTGAATGACTGTAGGTTACACCCCAGTGATAAAATCGATTAGAGTTCCCCTCTTCTAGTTCTCATTGCCAGTTAGTAAATTAGGGCATGGACATGTAACTAGGCACAGCGCTCCTGGTCTAAGTCGCTGCCCCTCCGCCACAGGGACTTCTCCTTCGTCCTGCTGTAGGAGAAATAATGGACACACTATGGAAACCCATGATGGAAATATGCCAGATAAATCACAAAACCCCATATGACAAGTAGATATGAGAAAATAGAAGGACCTGAACTTGAATGAATTTTAACGAATTTTTAACGAATTATTATGATTATACACGATAAATTGAAAGAAAGGGAATTAGCAAAAATACTTCAAGCTTAGCATCAACAAGACGGAATTCTCGGGGGAATTTATAGCAAATATTAAACCAAGAATTAGGACAATCGACCAAGATTTGACTATAAAAACAACCAGAGAACCTCCACGGAAACTACTTTCCCACATCCACACATGTAGCCAAGGATGGAAGTACCACAGAACAAGGATTCCTTAGGAACTAATGCAAAATTCAAAGTCGTGTTTATAATAGAAAATGTAGATGTCCCCCAAATGGACCCAATGTGTTATAGGAATGGACCTAGAATCTTATGGTCCATGACTGAACATTCAAATGTTTGGTCCCTCCACCTTTATTTCATTGTCAAACCCCATGCCAAGCTTTCCCACTGGGTTTTGGTGCTGGCTGGGGGATTTGTTGATTTCCAAGGGACTTCCCTTGGCCATTACAACCTTTGTATTAGATAGATAAAGTCATATGACATGTATGGCAATTGCCGAGATGTTTTCTCATTATCGAATACATAACCCAAAAACCTTGTACCGCGATTGTAACATCCTCACCATTGTGCCACCACTGTAAACTCAACCTGTAACCCTGGAACCATGTCCACCTCCCTATTCCTCCTCTCCATGACAAAACTGCAATGAGGAGGGCATTCCCATGCCCAACCTCCTGCTGTCCACTCCCACCAGTCCACCGGGTGGTCGAGTGGTTACTCCCATCCAACCAGAAGTTCCCTATCAGGAACTATAGCCTATCCCACCTCCTCAGGAGAAGGATACGGTCCAGGCAGCTCCAGGATGCCTGGCCACGCACCCGCAGGTCCCACTTCCCACGGTCACCCACTACCGTGCACTGGTCCACCAGCCCGCTTTCCCCAACAACTCCCGCTACCGGTACGCTCCCATGAGCGCCAAGTCACCGATAGCCACCAACTGGGTGACTCCCTTTGGGAGTCCCAGTATCCCTCACTACCGGTACGCTCCATTGAGCGCCAAGTCACCGCTAGCCAGTCACTCCCAGCACACCCACTACCGGCACGCTCCCAGGAGCGCCAAGTCCCCGTTAGCAGACAGCCAGGTGGCTCCCTCAAGGAGCCCACATCATACTCGCTACCGGTACGCTCCCAGGAGCGCCAAGTTACCGTTGGCCGACACACAGGTTGTACTCCCATACCCTCATCCTATTCTGCTCTCCCTCCAATGGCTACGCAGCCACCTCCATTAGTGAGCCAAACGGCTCAGGTTGGGTTCCCTGGAACCCATTCCTGTAACACAATGAAAGTAATTACAGGGAAAACTACCCATAAACGACGGAGATATGACTAAAACTCCCGGAAAACGAGGACAATGTTTAAAAGGTAAGCACGAAGAACAACCAGTAATGACTGAGACGAGCTTGATAGCCCATTAGAAAGGAAGGGATCTAATCTTAATCCACCCAAATTTTCATAATAAAAGGATCACGCATTAATGAGATAACCAATAATGGGAATAGCGACATCAAAAGTCCGGGCACAGGGAAAAGACGATGTTTACGTAGGATCCATAATTAAAACATACAACGAAATTTACACGGAAATTATGGAAAATAGGGAACTATAGTGATGCAAATTTTCAGCCCAAATGGTCCAGCCGTTGTGAAGTTATACCAACAACAGGAATATAGAAGTCCGCATCATGTTTAAAGACATGTGAGGGTGGCAATGCAAAGGGAACCAGCCGTCGGAACTGAGATCTGCACTTCAGCAGATTGCAAAGACCAATTTCTGTCCAAATAAGGAAGAGCCTGGTCAAAACAAAGCATGGAAAGTGCAAAACAACCTTAGATCATGAGGGAAAAATCTGAAATAAATCACGGAAGCCCATATGAAGGATACAAACACCTGCACATACCATAAATCCTGAACAATTAAACAGAAACAGTGCCCACATACGAACGACTACAGGAATGACACACATGATTACTGAATGTGCACGCAAACTTTTGCTAACTCGATGAATACCAGGAAATAGAACACAACTTTAGTACCATTGGAAAGGTGGGAATAAACGAAAATTTATGATACCAAGAACGTGAAAAACCATCCAGAAATGAATGAGATACAAGGACATGAAGTTAGAAACCTGAAAATGCGTGGGAAGACAGCTTCAAGAGGTCCAGAGCCCTAAATAAAATACATAAAAATATGATATCTTCGAGGATGACCTACTATAACAACAAACAATACATATGGAGGACTAGGATGTGATAATACAAAGGGGAATCAGGGGAGATGAACGAAAACCATGAAAACCACTAAACTATGATGGACCATGGCAGGAATTTTAGGGAATGATATTCTAATGAAGTAGAGAGCTATAATACATTTGTTTGAGTAATTCTTGACTACTAGCAACTTTTTCTTTCAGTTCTAAACCTGAATAATTCACTCATTTACCATTTCAAGTCTCATTTTAACTAAATGTTGCTGGATAAAAATGGAATAAATCAGCTGAAGGTCTCAGTGCAGCCATACACATAGTAATGCGAAGTTTGAATTCAGAATCACCAAGTCATAGCGAACTTAATGGTAAATATGAGGAATTTGAAATAGGAAACTGTGACAAATGCAGCGCAGTCAAGTTCTAATTAACCATTAAAATAGTTTAGGTGAGGAAGGACAATAAGGATTCTAGGTGCAGTAGAACTATAGTGTGAAAGTTTCATTTTTTATTCAGTTTGAGAAAAATAC